TTTTGCTGTCCAAAAGAGAAAGCCAATTTGATTTGATGGTTGAGGTGTTGGATTAGAAACCAGGACATCATGCTTCCTGTTATCCCCTCGGTCATTAAAACCAGCTGGGGCTTCTTTTCATTCTCTTTCAGTCCAACCCATGTCACAGGTTGCTGCAGTATGCAAAATTGGGAGCATTAGAAATGTACCCCACCTTCAATTCATCCGAAGGCAGAATAACAATAAAATAAAATAAATGCTCTTGTCAAGTCATATTCATAAGATATTACCAATTATACATTTGGAACCCCTCTGTTTCACATTCTTTGTGAATATACTGTGCATGATTATATGTAGTCACACTACTTCCAGCTGAATATTGTTTTAATGGAATAAAATCCTGAGTAAAATATTCAGGAATGGAATCTTGACATGTTCAGTTATCAAGAATAATCTTCAGCTAATGTCTATTTGCAAATGGTAAAAAAAAATACAGTTTTCTCTCTTGATGTCTTTTGCTCTTTTTGAATCAACTAGCTAGTAGATTATAGCTAGTTAATTCAAAAGGAGCACAAAAATGTAAGAGAACACTATGTTTACAAATGCAATTTCTCGTAAATATCTTCTTATTGCTACAAATGCTGCATGGGCCTGATTATTCCAAAAAGCAAAATACATTGTAAAGCTTTCTTAAACTGTGTCATGTCCAACTGCATTTAAAGATGTATTTGATTGCTTTTCTGTATTTTTTTTTTAAATCCAACTATATTTAATAAGCTAAGATACAAGGCAGGGGGATTTTAGCAAAGCTTTCTCCCTAATGTGTTTTTTTATGTTTGGGGGTGGGTTTTTTTTTTTTTGTCTTGTAGAGAAGTATTTCATCATATCAACCCTCATTTGCAGTCTGAGGTAGTTAAGTTAAGACACATGTCTAGGTTTTATCTGCTTATATTTATGAGAACTATGTCAATGCAGCAGTGGTAGCAACAAAGAGACACAGGAGCTCAGGTTGCTAAATGTAATTTCTGCTTAGCCCAGANACCCAGACTGTGGGGGCGATATGCTGACTCTGTAAACTGCTTAGAGAGGGCTGAAAGCCCTATGAAGCGGTATATAAGTCTAACTGCTATTGCTAAACAAAAGGCAACTGCAATGACAAACCTATATTTCAATTAGTATCTTTATGTAAGATTCTGCCTAACTTCTTGGTTACTCCAATCAAGCTGTTCAATATTTAATAAGAAAATCTGTTTTGTTCTTAGTGCAGAGTAAATTAAACTAGGCTAGCCTCAGTTCTTCATTGTCTGCTGATTTGGTCAATCTGCAAGACTTCATTTAATTCATCAGAGTTAATCAAAGTTTTGGGTACTAACAGCATGAATGTGTATATGTGTGGACAGCATGGCTAGATCGATCTCTTACATGGAATTCCCATCTTGATGTTTCTCATATTCTAGGAAGCTCATGATCCATGGAAATATGGATTGTCATGCCAAGTAAGAAGCTGATACAGTAATTTACGGCAACAATAGCAATAGCACTTTAGACATATACCACTTCACAATGTTTTAAAGCCCCTTCTAAATGGTTTACAGAGTCAGGATATTGCCCCCAATAATCTGAATCCTCATTTTACCAACCAGGTTGAGTAAATGGAAGGTTGAGTCAACCTTGAGCCAGTCTTATTCAGCATTTAAGTATGAAAGAAATTGTGATGTTTCTCCAAGAGGCCTAGATTTACCACAGTCAGTGTACAAGTAGTTCTTGTATATAGTTGCTTTGCAACTGCTTGAAGTTTTTAGAAACAAAACATAATAGATTTTGTTTGTTTGCATTCTAGGCATTTTATAGCTCATTTTAACATGGTTCCATAACCTTGAGATTAGATGGCACACAAACATTTCGATGATGATGATGATGATGATGATGATGATGATGATGATGATGATGATGATGATGATGATGATGATGATATACATATACTAAACCATGAAAACCTGGTTTTCTAGAATTAACACAATACATTGTGTTTGTACAACATGCTGTGCTTGAACCAGCTACTTTATAGCATTGCATAAAGTCATCTTGGTATAAGAATAGCATATAAATTTGCCTGATATTCTATTTTATGTTTTTCAAGTGACCATTTAGGTGGAGGCATATAGAGAAACAGTTTGAAAACATCATATAAGGAACATTTGAAAAAAAAATCTCAATTTGCTATTTTTATTCATGCAAGTTATTTTTATGTCCAAGATTTATTTGAGGGAACCATATTACAGTCACCAGTCAAAATGTCTAATTAAAAAAAAAAACCAAATACAATGGATTTTTTTTTCTCTTTTAAGGAAACCTATTAATCGTGTTTTAACACAATAAAAAGCCAAGTTCTTTCCAAACATATTTCCCACAATAATTTTGTAAAACATTCCAAGCATTGCTATTTCATCAGCAATTGTTTTCTGTGTGTTTCCTTTTCCATTTTTAAATGAATTTCTTAGCCCAAGTAACTATATATTTATGGCTACATTTTGTATTTCTTTCTTCAGCAGTAACCCTTACTTGCCATTAAACCTGTTGCAAAATACTGCAGCAGTAGTTGAAAATCCCTGGATTTTTTTTTCAGCAATATCTTTCAAAACAAAGTAGAAAAAACTCATGCACTCTGTTTAATCAGATGCAGTATATGTGATGCCATGGCAATAAATACCAGTTCTGTCAGTGTGGCCTTCTCATAAAGCACATTCACTAGCTATAGAAGCAGCAGTATGATTGACACATATTTTGTCTCTGAGACTTTAATAGATTTTGCGCAGAGGTTCAGCCTTGTTTGTTGGAGGACAGAGTGTTGATGTATTGGAGAAGGGACTTAAATCTGAATCTACTGTAGATCCAGAATGCAAAACTGACCTTGATTTTTCATAGGCTGCGTCTAAATTTAGTGTATAAACTACTCACTAATCCATTGTAGCTTCATAGCAAAATCTGCTTTCTCAGCAAGCATTCTTGAAACTTTATTCTCCCCAACTTTGTAAGTGAAGCTAAAGAAATAGTAGTAAATACACTAACCTCGGAGGGTGTTCCTGGACTGCTTGTAGTGTTCCTACTGCTACCCCTCAGAATAGATTATCCAACTATTCCATCTTTTCCTTCTGAAAGGAACAGAATAGTGGATAAATGGAGGCAAATGTTGAAAAAAAAACCTCCCCATAAAATGAGAATGATTGAATGTCATAATCTGTCATGTAATACCCCTTTATTCTCATTTTATCAGAAGAAATTATGCTGGTAAAAAATTAAATATTGGCACTACAAAACAGATGGAATACATGCTCATGAGCAGCCGTGTTTATATTGTCCGGAACAAACTGAATGAAAGCTAGTAATAACCCTGTTCCAGTAGTGATGTGTAATATTAGTACCCGTCAAGTGGAGGAATTTGAATGAACAGATGTGGATCACGTGGAGTTCTAAAACATTTTTACAATAGCTGTACTAGAGCAGTTAGATATTCAGAAGGGAGAGCTGAAGTTGTATCACAAAATTAAATACACCCTTTAATGAATGAAAAAAATATTAACTAATGACATTAAAAGGGCTTTCTGATGTTGACATGAATTTAATCAGAAAAATTCCCCTTGGACTCTTTAATAATCTAATACAGAAAATGTTAATAAAGTTACTGCTATCCAATTTGAATGTTGCCATATAAAGTAATTATTGAATTAAAAGTTTGTGGAAAATTCATTTTTAAAAGTTGGTTGGTTGGTTGGTTGGTTGGTTAGTATAACCAGCCCTCTCAAACCAGTGACTGTGAGCAGCAAACAATCATAAAAATAGTTAAAATAATTAAAACACAATACATAAAAGAAATGAAATACTAATAGCAGCCAAGAGACATTATATTCCATTGGTGTCAACATAACCAAGAAATAGGGCCCTTCACTTACTCAGGGCCCTGGATCCTGATATTAAGATTCATCTGGAGGAAGAAGGTTCGATAGAGGAGGGCTAGAAGGCACATCTCCTGGTCCTCACCACTCGACAATTCTTAGCTGATGGAATCCAGAGCATATAAATCCTGGTGGACCAGGTTGCATGGATAAAACAACTGGGAGAAGATGGTCCCTCAGATAACCCGGTGCCAAGCTATGAAATGCTTGAAAGTTGACAAGCAGTTAACTTGCATCTGGAAACACCCTGGCAAACAATGATGGCTCCAAAACAATGGTGTTAATGAGTCATGTAGCCGACATCATTTAGAACCTATGCAGCTACATTCTGTCCTTGCTGAAGCTTCTATGTGCTTCTCAAGGACAGCCCTATGTAGATTACGTTGCACTAGTCCAAATAGGACGTTACAAGGGCACGAGGGACAATGAGCAAAGTTTTCTGATCCAGGTATGGGTGCAACTGGTGCACCCAAGGGGTGTGGATGCCCTCATGACTACCACCTGCTCCAGCAGGAGCTATGAGTCCAAGAAGACACCCAAATTGCACACCAGATTCATCTGAGGCAATGTCACCTTATCCAGGAAGCATCCAAAGCCACAGTCTTGCATGGGTTGAGTCTAAACCCATAGTGCCCGATCCAGGCTCCTCAGCCTCTAGGCATTGAGACAAGATTCTCCATGGTGTCACTCAGGCAGGAGATACAAAGCTGTAGATCATCATCATATTGATGAAATTTCACCTCAAACCATTGGATCACCTCACCCAGATCCATTGTCTCAGTATAAATATTGCACTTGCATAGGATATTGAACAAAGCTAAATTGTATAGTTGTTCCTGTACTATAATCTTTCAGCCTGAATGTTTGCATGTTGGTTCTTAAACTTTCCCGTAATAATTGTATTTGCTTTTGCAGGGTAATAAGTAGCTCTTTTGGGCTACTTTGTAATACACTAGTATTACAACTAGAGGTGTGAATTACCCTTTGTATATATGGACAATGTTATTTTTAAAAAGTCCATTGTTAGTTTATGCTCAGAAAATCATAACTTGTTATTTCATCTAATAGGAAACCGTAGGGGAGCCCTTTTTTCTGCTGTTGTGTGCTATTAAACAACAGATCAATAAAGGATCTATTGATGCCATCACTGGAAAAGCAAGATACACACTTAATGAAGAATGGTTATTGAGAGAGAACATCGAAGCAAAGCCAAGGGTAAGAATCTCCTTTTTAAAAAAATAAAATAAAAATGTGTTTGTTACTTTCACAGTTGCCTATGAGGCTTTTGTAACCAGGACACCTTAAGGTTTGAAAGCATGTTTGATGCAATAGGGAGGCCGATACCTCTTTCTGAGTATGAATCTCTGTTCTGAAATTCAAAAATGCATCCTGTTCCTAAGCAACCACCACTGGTTACTTATTGCCTTGATAGACAAAGTGGCTGAAACTGTGACCAGAGACAAAAAGGACAGCAGGGATCAAATCATGATTTTTCTAAGTGTTCATTCAGTTAGCAAGCTCCCCTGAGATTAGAAAACTTCTTCCCAAACTAAATTAGTTTTTTTCACTTACAACTCTGGTTCCCCCCCCCCCCCAAAAAAGATAAGTCATTGTTTTTCTAGTAACAGCAGCCCCAATGACATGTCAATTCTCCTTGAAATCGGAGACAATACTCTATACAGAAGTATTTGGGAGAGGAGTGTTTTCCTACTTAAGTGTATGTCAATTGTTCCATTCAGTCATCTAGCAAAGAAAGACTCCTGGCCCATTGTTTTACCACAAGTGTACTTTACTAAAGCTTAAGTAGTTACCATAGCAAAGGTGGATCTGGCGTTTTCGCGTGCAAAATGGTACAATGAGCTTTCCCTTTTCCCCAGCCATTCCCCTGTTGTCAATTAATGTCCAATTGGGTGCTTGTATATTGTTTGGTAATGGACCCTCAGTTTGCCAACTCTGCATTCCAATGAGTGACCTTGGGCTGGATGGTGTTTCTCACGCCTTACCCTCCCCACCACCACTTCCTCCCTACATTCCAATCCTCTTCGCCCCCCCCCCGTTGCTAATGTCAGGCTGTCAGCTTGTGATGCTTGGCTAGCAGAATGGCAGCCATGACAGTGTATTAGAAAAAATAGACCTTGAAAATTGATCATGTGTAGTGAGATTATTAGCCAAACACAAAATAATTGAGGTTGACAAATCAGAATGTACCCGAAGTACAGTTTTCTTAGGAATTATGTAGATTAGATACCTCTTGTACAAACATGGCTACCTATTCTGTATATCAAATGATAGCAATTGTACAATCTTATATGAGATATGCAATTCCTAAAAAGTCAGCGTTGCTAAGACCTGAAAGACAGAGTATATATCGAATCATCAATTCATAGCTGATGAAAATAGTTGTTAGTTATTCAAGGTTATGATGCTTTTAATACAAACATTGAAGAAATAGAAAAATTACGCTGATTATAAATTGGTTCATGTTAGTTCGTGTGTTAAATTCAGCCAGTTAGTAAATGCAGCAGTCAAATCTCTGCAAAATGAAAATTAAACTCTGCATTCAACTGCTGTTGTGTAAATCTAGAAGAGTTGTCACAGAATCAGGGGTCTCACTCAGAAGCTATGATGGTGTAAATGAGAACTTGAGAGACCGCCTCCTGCCGATTACCTCCCTTCGACCAATTCGATCGCACAGATTGGGCCTCCTCCGAATTCCATCTGCCAGTCAATGCCGACTGGCGACCACACGGAGGAGAGCCTTTTCTGTTGCAGCTCCGACCCTGTGGAACGATCTCCC